TTCTGCACTCAATGACTTAAACAATACATGAAGTGAACAGTCAGAAGAAATAGATACTTATTAGAATTATTACTTTTATTTTTATTCACTAGAGCGACATTGAAGAAAGAATTTTTACATACAGGTTTTTAAATCAACTTTACAAGCAAATTCCAATATACAGTATTTACTCTGGCCTGGGTTAGAAAAGAACAACAAAGCAGATAGTAAGGGTACCTCTTGTTTTAGCTAGCATTGAATTTAAGATTTCACTGACACTGGAATTACATGGTTTTTATTGTGGTGCTTTTACAATTAAGTCGGCAGTGAGCAGCTTTACCACAACAATGACTGAATCTCCTTGATAGCATAGTTGTAAGATTACTATACTGAGACCTACCACCAGGATCATGTATTAAATCCACTCTGCTCAGAAAAAGCCACTATAACAAGATAAGGAATAGCTACGGAAGCCCAATTCAGGAACTGATTTCCATTTGTATGGCAAGAAAAATGTCTGTATTAAGAGGATTATGTGCTGTGCAAAACCAGAAATTCTTCCCCCGCAACATGCAACCTACCCAAGTATGACACTTTAAAATGTGCATATGCTTGTGACATGCAAACAAAGTAAATCACACAAGTGGTATCCAGTTTTCTAGCATCATTACAACAAATCAGCATTTAGTTCAAGGATGAGACGCATTTTACTATGATGCAGTCTAGTTGCTATGTCTAGTCTCACTGCTATGAGGTTTAAAGTTGAAGAACCCACTTTTTTGGAACAATATGAAAAATTCAGTGTGGTTTTGGATTTTCAGGGCCTTTGTAATTATTTCGAGAAAGTCCAAGAGATAATATTGCACTTCATTTTCTCAAAAAAAAAAAATATAAACTGGGAACATTATTCTTGAAGGGCTACGCTAGTCCTAGGGAAGTTTTGCTATTGGCCTTGATTGGCAGTAGGAAGTGCTAGCTTCAGGGAAGGGGAAGGTAATCTGGCTGCATCATCAGTGTTAAAATTCCACAGTTAAAGTCATTGCACAACAAAAACTCAGTACACTATATGAATGTTTTTAAACATGCTAGAGTGCGTATCAATTCTGTGAAAGTGATGTGAAGATACCTTGGAAACAGCAACACTAGCAGGGAAACTAGTTTCAAAGAAAAGCCACACACAGCAGGAGGCATCTAAATTATTTTAGGCACAACTCCAAGCAATAAAGCTCATTTAAAGTGCAATTCTGTTTTTCTTCTTTTGTGTTTCTTCACTTGTTAAAACACATAATTGCCTCTGTACACACATACTGAACAGTAGTTTAATACTTTTGTGAATATTGCACAAAAGAATGAGAAATCAAAAACAAAAAAATAGCAATAAATCAGTTTTAGAAACCTAAAAAACCCCCTGAAGATATCAAATCCTTTAATTTATGCATTTAGGATAATCTGCACTGGTACTGATGATATATCTGCACCTTCCATAAGGTAGATACATTACCCAAAAATACTTACTTAATCCCATTTGACAAGCTCTACACAGCACTCTCTTATCCATCTCCTCCCAGCCCCTGTCCTTCACTGGAATGAAGCTTCAAAGTTCACTTCACTACTCTTCCAGTTGCCCATCTACTGACAGGCTTTGCTCATACTCTGGACTTACTATACATGCAACAGAGCCTTCCCTGGTAAAGTCTGAAGAGCCAAAATATGTAGTCGTCTTTGAGGGATGCAAGGTTAGCAGCTGAATACAAATACAATTCAGGCTAGTATCTGTCTCATCAGTGCTCAAATCCCACTGTCTCCAGCTCAGTGTCTCACTAATCTGTCAGAACAAAATGTGGAAATGCTATAACAAAGAATATAATCTACTTATGCTCCTTTAATACAGGAACACATACCCCCCCCACACTCCCCCCCAAATAAATATATTTTTGTTTTTCTGGGGGAAAAAAAAAAAATTAAGAACTACCTTTATCAAAACCCTTATCATCTCTTTGCTTCATTCTTTAATTTTCAGTAAAGGTGCAGACTGATGGATATCTATATTTTAAAATGTAAACATACAAATTTTAACATCACTAAATCAGGCTTGTGATACCTCCAGAATAAGAAGCAAAGGAATTCATGGTGAAGTATCTCTGTTAATAGCATTAAGTGAAAAATCATCTTTTTACACAAAGTCATATACAACTGAGAATAAAATCAGCTTCTCTTCAAGGAAAGTAAACATAAAAAACACCTTCCATAGAAATCTATATGGACCGGAAAACAAACCAGGAATCTGATCACTCCCTCAGCAGTTTTTAAACTCCTGAGAAACACAGTTAGCTGCCAGGAGCTAGTTTTGGGGAATATAGAGAGTCAGTTTTATTTTCCTATCAAAAGTAAATGCTTACACTGAAAGCCATCTAATTCAATGCTTTTCAAGGAAAGAATCTTTCCTCAAGAGTAATTGTTACAGCAATCTTGAATTGTAGTTATTTTGATCCTATATCATCTGTAAGGATTAATGTTACCCTTGTTACTTCTTGCTTACATTGTCTTCACCCCAGTTAACAGCAAATCCTGCAGGTCTCTTATTTCAGACTGATATACGCAATTCTGAAATAGAACCTCCTCCCTACCCATTCTTCCCCCAAGCTTTTCATTTTTCTACTTCATTGTCAGTTAAAAGAATTTACAGTGTGACAAATCCAAAGAACTTTCTTGGATTTTAATTACGTAGTGAGAAATTCAGGTATTGTATTTCTTTCCTTCTCCCATCCAACTAAGGTATCCATCAGGATACCCCTAGTTAAAGGGCTTACATTACAGAAGTTAATTACTGAACTTATGAAATGTCTATACCTATTCACTTTAATTCTCTCAAAGAAAATACTGTAATATGTCAACATCCTACAGCCAAAGCCTCGAACAAACTATGTTTCTTTTACCAACATTATAAGCTGTTCAGCAACAGATTTTGAGCAAAGTTATTGTAACAGCCTTCTGCTGAGTATTTTAAAACCAATTCAAGAACAGCAAAAAAACCACCCCAATTGGTAACATCCAAGAGACAGTGATGGGAAAGAGAAGAATTGGAGATGGGACATAACACTAAGTTTTTGGAAAGCTTCACTGGATATGCATATATTTAACTCACAGCTCATGTGTCATGGTCCCATAGTTGCACCATGATGGGCATGTATTTCCAGACCACTTTCAGAAAAATTACTTCTCCTGGAGAGCAGAAAAAAATTTTTTTTCTTTGCTTTATTTCCCCAAAAAAGCTCCTTCCCAGTTATCATGCACTTTTTAGAAATTACACCAAAAAAATTTACAAAAAAAAAAAAAAAACACAAAAGAAAATACACATCTCTGAAAAACTCTTAAGAGTACCAGCTCTGGATTAGGACAAAATAGGATTGCTCAAAGCAAATAAGTGGGGTTAATTTTTTTTTTTTAAATAGTTGGTTTTTAATACAAATTTTATTCTGTAAAGTAGTTTCAAATCCTTACACATAGGGCAAAGTTTGTGCAAAGCTTCAAGTCAGGTACTTCAGAGTCTTTGAATATTAAACAGAAATCAATAAATACAAGTAGTACAATAAAAGTTAAAAAATATTAAAATGCATGTTGTGCAACCTCGACATAGGTGTTATGGACCCCTTATTCCCAGAGCCTCCCTACTTACCAATTCGTAAGAGCCTATATTGGAAGGTTTTGCACAAGTATCCTTAGCGTTTCAAGAATCTACCCGGTAATGTGTCTATTCAACACAATAAAAACATACCACAATCTTATAACAAATGATGATGTTTAAGACGGAAGATTCGTTTCACCCTGTGAAATCTGCTTATTGTCTGTGAATAGTGAAAATGGGATAAATAAAGAACAGAGCAACTTCAGATTACAGCAAAACAAAACAACACAACCCACCCAACTCCTTAGATTAAATAACATTAAATATGTCAGTCTTGAGATAATGATAAATACAAGGTTTTTTGCATAGGCCTCTGGAATACAGAGTCAGAATTATGGCCAATAAAACATCTGCTAGCAAGTCTAATTTTCCACCACTCTAACCTAACGAGTACTCAGAACCAAGAAGTTAAACTGAATAGTAATTTCATTGTCTAATAACTCAAATAAACAGAGGTAAGAAATTATTTCTGCCATCCTGAAGTACATAGTGCAGCATTCTGGTATTCATGGTCACCATAGACTTCAGTATTTGCTTAATTACTAAGATCACTGGGCAATACAATCTTTAATACAGACCTATGATATAATAAAACACTCTCAAAAGAAGCTGCACAGCTCGTAACATGAGCCTCAGAACATAACAGGATGGAGGATGCAAACACTAAAGAAAGATGCTATTTTTAATATTCACTCAGGATTTGCAGGCTGTAGATAAAGCAGCCTCAAAGGCAGTCAATCCATAGGAAGTAGTTTAATGTATGGCATCGTTCAGCAAGATGTAGGTACGTTCTCAATGTGTCTTTGGTTTAGGGAGGCGGGAATGCCGATTAGAGGGCAAACTATCCCCAGAATGCAAACCGGTATTCTGTGTTTGCACATTTTCCTTTCTCTGTACTGGTGGCTTTGGGATGTTTGTCTTCAGATAGGTGTTACGAGGCTCTGGAGATACTGGTGTGGATTTCTGACTGCTCATTTGCTTAGATTTAACAAAGGAGATAGTTGGTGGGCGAAGTTTAGACACTTTCTGACTTTGTTTACCCTTTAGGTTATCCTGACCAGATGTTGCCTGTAGCTGGGTTGAACTACTTGATGGTAGAAGCTCACGTTCCTTGGAAGCAGCAGAATGATTTGCAGATCGTGCGAGAACGGCCATCGTAGGAGGCACTAAAGCATTCGGGGGCTTTGCGATTCTTAAAGTCTTTGGCCGAGAAGCCTGATTTGTGAATGAGGGTTGACCTACAGCTAATTCAGTCTGCAGCTCTCTAGCATCAGCTCGTGTAGAGGTCTGAACACAGGAACAAGACTGTAATGTACCTTCTTTATTATTAGCAACTTCTCCAGGGTCTTCAGTATTTTTATTTTTCAAATTTTCCAAATGTGATGCATTCTCATCTTTTATGTTTAACTGTATACTCATTAAAGAGTTTACATCATTCAGGCTATTTGTGAGGGAGACATCTGCAGCATTTTGATTCTTATGATTGCTATTTTCATGCAGACCATGTTTAGGATATTCACTGTGGGCCTCGATATGTGGCATTTTTACTAGTTTTCCCTGGGCGAGGTCTGTGGAACTGGGAAGGCTGCTGGAAGGCTGTAGTACTTGAGGCTGTGAAAAGAGAAAAGAGTACAATAATATATTAGGCAAAGAAAACACCAGATAACATTCTGAATCCACGTGCACTGACTGGATGCTTGATAAGGGCTGCATATCTTTTTTTTAAAATCAAAACTTTGACTTTGGCAAAACAGGATGGTTCATGGGACGCATAAAAATGTGACTTAAAACTTAAGTGGAAAAAATTATACCAGCACTGAAATACACAACAACATAAAGACAAAAAAGAAACCAATTAGCTTAAAGAAACATGAAAAAAGCATGGTTGATGGTTTCACCTAAATCTGCAGGACAGCGTAAGTATGGCACATGAGGACGGATTAATTCTGATTCAAGTGCTTAATAAACAAGGGCAATGGCTATCAGACTGTATCCATCTTTTAATTTCTATTCACTGCATACTCAAGTTAACTATCCCAAACCTTTTATCAATGTTCTGTGCTGTACAGGCAGGAAAGGAGTTTAATGGACCACATGAATTTACAGTGCATTTTCCTTGCCTTACTGAGGTCAGAAAATGTGATACAGGGATGTTTTAATTAGGCTACTGACTAGACTTAGGTAACTATTTTATCTTGAACGGATTTCAAATGAGCTGATAAAGAAACAGTCTTCAACAAAGCAGTACAACAGAGTACATGTGAAGCTAGAAATCATATACTACTACACTGATAACCAAGGGATGAAGACACCAATGAAGATTTTACATTTTATCAGTAGATACAATCTGATCAGACATTTATCAGACAAGAGAACTGCCGGTACCTCTTCTGGGTCATTTCTGTTTTCTCTTTGCTCTTCCCTGTAAAAAGACTTTAAAGATGAATGTGTGCACGCTAGCTTCACAAACATACCCTAGACCTGCAACTTGTATACAGATCTCAGAAGAATTATTAAAAATTCTGCAATTCATGGAAAAACCCCAAACCTAGCAAAACTTAAAGTATACTTTCAGCAAGTTTCACGTTTGGATTATTTTCTCATTGTCTTTATAAAGGAGGGGAACTGAACTACTACAAGCTAATCTTATCCCTAAAATACTTGAAATTTTATCAATTGATAGATTGCATGTACATAGTAAACAGTCTTATAATATTTACTAGTGAAATATAGTCAATAAAAAGAGAAGCAATGTTTGTCTAAGAGATTTGACTAAACATGTCACTTCAGTCACTCTCTTGAATTATTCACCATTTTAAATGAGAAAGCCAATTATCTGCCTGGTCTTTTTA